AAGGTGTTCTGGTACCAGGTACACTTATGAGCCACCTTATGTTCGAACATGGTGTTCGTTATGGCCAAACCGTGGCAAGCACAGAAGTCCAATAACGAGACACCATTCGGGTTCAGATCGGGCAAGCCGTTTCTCCCAATCACCCCCCGCCAGGTTTCTCCGTCATTGCCCACGTGAGTGTTGAAGTCCCCCAGGAGAACTATGGAGTCGGTAGGCGGCGCCCTTTCCAGGACCCCTCCCACCGACTCCAAGAAGGCCGGATACTCTGAACTGCTGTTTGGTGCATAAGCACAAACCACAGTCAGAGCCTTGCATCCCGCAACCCGTAGGTGCATGGAGTTCAAGGACCTCTGAGTCAAATCTGTGTTAGGAGCTCTGTGTGAATACAGGATCCTCCACAGTCAGAGAGACCATCACCAGACTGAAGGTTCGGGTTGGAGGGTTCATTCTCCTCAACGATGTCTCAGGACATCTAGAGCGACGCTCTTTAAATTAAAACCAAATGTCCTATTGAACTGACAAAACACGATACACGTTTTTGGACATAATTGAAGGATTAATATGATAATTATGTCATAAAGATTTCAAATAGGATAAAATGATGAAGTGATATTTTGGGCGGACGTAGATGTGAACGGACTCTTGACTGGTTGGTGGAGGAACTCAACCACGAGGGGATTGTAGTTCTATCTGATTGTAGTTCTATCTGATTGTAGTTATGTCTGATTGTAGTTATGTCTGACTGTAGTTGTATCTGATTGTAGTTATGTTTGGTTGTAGTTGTCTGATTGTAGTTATATTTGATTGTAGTTGTATCTGATTGTAGTTGTATCTGATTGTAGTTGTATCTGATTGTAGTAGTGTCTGATTGTAGTAGTGTCTGATTGTAGTAGTGTCTGATTGTGGTTCTGTTTGATTGTAGTTATGTCTGATTGTATTCATGTCTGATCGTAGTTCTGTCTGATTGTAGTTGTTTGGTTGTAGTTATATCTGATTGTGGTCTGTGTGGTTGTAGTTCTATCAGATTGTAGTTCTATCTGGTTGTCATTATGTATGATTGTAGTTCTGTATGATTGTGGTTCTGTATCTGTACAGTTAATTAATTAGTTAATTAGAACTTAGTGAAGCGTTTGGTGCCGCCAGTAACCAGAGCACCGTTTGAGCTGGGACTAACTGGGACTAATGTTATCTCATACTGGTGTTACTGGATTATAAACATTGTTCTCTCTGGTTATTGTGATCACTCTCTAGTGACTCAACACATTTTGAAAGTTGTGAAGAAGATGTTACACTCATTGAAACAGCCCTTACAAAATAAAAGCCTCTACAAACATAAAGTTTTAAACTGTTTATGATGAATCACTAAAATAAACTCGTCTGTTGTTGCTGATCTTTTTTTTGCCGGCTGCCTCATAAAGTTTGTCCTATTCAGGCTTCTGTAGTTCAGGAAACAGTTTGTTTTTACAGCCTCTGGATTTATAGAAAAATTAAACGAGAAATTCAGCTATAAAGATTAGTAAGAAATAACATGAAAAATGAATAAGATGTGGATAGAAATACAAAAGTTATTGCATCAAAATAATATCTGTTCAGATTATTAAACATGATTATTAATGAATTAATCAATTATTTTAGCTGGTTTAAAGGTCAGAGGTCAGCAGCTGATCCTCCTCTCATTGGACGAGTCTGAACCCAAAAGGAATGAATGTTTCACACGGAGCCACACTGAGCCGTCCAATCAGCTGAGGGTGTGGGCGGAGCTGTCAGTTCAGAAGATTCCGTTTACGGATGAACCACTGAAGTGAAGCGAATTGAAGCGAAGTGAAGCGGGTCATCGGACAGAAGGGGAGATTTAGGTCAACGTGTCGAAAGATGAGACGTTCATGTCTCACAGGGAATTACATTTTTTTTAAGATGAGGATTAATAATATTATTATTAATAATATCTATTATTGGATTATTAGATTATTGTTAGATTATAATTATTATTATTATTATTAATAATAATAATGAAGAAAGTTTAAGTAAAAAAAGTTAATTTATTCATTAAATAATCACATTCTTTAGAAAATTAAAGACAAACTGAAACGGAAAAGAAAAGAAATATGAAATGATTAGCATCATATTATTATATAATAACCTTATTATTATATAATGATGTAATAACAGAGACTCTCTGCAGCTTCTCTCTGTTCTTCTTGCTGCATTGCAGATGTTGAACAGGACGGGTTGGGTCAGTGGTCTCTGGTACACACTGTACCTGAACACACCATGTTACACTGCTGCAGTGTGTGTGTCTGTGTAAACACAGGGGCACCTTCCTCTGCCATGTGAACGAGTCCTTTAAAGGATTCAGTGTTTTACTGCAGGATCCTTTCCCTGTAAAACATTGACAACGCGTCGTTAGCTCTGGCTAACGCTCCGTTAGCACCTGCCTGGTCGCTACTGAGCGTGTGCGAGTCTCACCAGGACCGAGGAAGAAGTGAGGTTCACTGAGACCCGATCCAGTATTTCAGCCTGTTTCTGGTTCTGGTTTCATATCAGAACAAACGATTAGGAGATGTTTGTTATTGTACTTGTTTGTCTATCTTTGTGAGGACCAGTGTGAGTGTTAGACCTTAAGAGGACATTTTGGGGACGTACCTTCGGAGAGCTGTTTCAGGTTTAAGGTTTCAGAGCACTTTAAAAAACTTCTGACATCACAGCTACCTCTCGCTGTGATTGGTCAGTTGTGTGGAGGTGAAAAAGTAGGCGGGTTTAAACTTGTCTTCTCAGGTTTTGTCCCCTGGTTGTGTTCAGTAAAGAAAGAGACGTCCCCACAAGGACAGAACTACAAACGCGAGTGTGTGTGTGTTGATGAAGAAGAATATAATTGTTTGCCGACTCAGCTGCTTACAGTCATCAAACACGCACACACAGCCTGCCAACTCACTGTGTGTGTGTGTGTGTGTGTGTGTTTGCTGATTAAAGGTTCAGATGAACATTAAGCTCCTGAACACTGATTGGCTCTCACCTGTTCAGACAGGTTGATGATGTCACAGGTGACTTGAGTCAAAACAAACAACCAGCTGTTTCTCTTCTTCTGTTTTTGTCTGCTGAGAGGTGAACACATCATATTATATTATATATAATCTATAAAAATACTTCATTTATTAGTGGATCAATAATCTGAAATTGAAGAAGGAGACCAGGTCCAGACTGAGAGAGACCAGGTCCAGACTGAGAGAGACCAGGTCCAGACTGAGAGAGACCAGGGCCCCGTTCCTCGTACGTGGTTCAGCTCAGTCGATCAAATGTCCTATTAGCATCTGAAATTAACCCGATGATTGATGTCAGGCTATCTCGGTTTCTCCAAGGCTGATCCCAAACTGTCTCGTTAATTGGAACCAGACGATCAGGATCAGGATAATTGAGCGTGCCCGTCCTACTTCAAAAGGGGGAAGCGTCGATCACCGAAACCATGATTTTCTAACAGTACAATGTTAAATAAAGTCAAAGAAAGAGCCTCTTTTTACTCCGCTGACGAGCAGGAGATGATCATGAACGCATATGAGGAATTCAAGACCATAATCACGGCAACATCTAACACCGCCACCGCTGCGAGGGCTAGACAAGAAGCACGCAAAATATCACAGACACGTTAAATGTGTAAGTGTTGTAAATGTATCGGCTCATTTTAATGCCTCATCACCCCAATCAATCAGATGATATGTCTTTAAATGTGACTGCTGGCAGTAGGCTTAATGAATGCATCATCCAATGAGATCTATAGCGACAATAATGATCTCAACTCTTTCAGAATAAGATAAAAACAAGCCCAAAGAGCATCTAACTGATACTCATTAATATGAGGATATATGTACTGTATGCCCTTATGTATCATGTACTATATATGTGTATATACATGTATGTGTAGATTACCATATAGAAATAGCAGTTTGAGTCTGTGTGTGTGAATCTGTGTGTGGGTGGATCAGTGTGTGTGTGTGTATTATTCATCATCAGACATTCAATCAACTGAAGCAGTGAAGATAAAGTGTGTGATTCTCTCTGTTCTTATCATGAGTCCACCTTCATCATGTTCTACAGTAATGATATGCTGGTGTACTAATAACACTGTCATATCATTATGAGTGCTTTAACCCTCATGTATGCAACGCAGCCATCAAGAGGACATGGGAGCAAGTAAACACTAACACACACACATTACTCAGAATGCTGACTCAGTACAATATGTGCCATGGTGATGTAATGAACACATCCATAAGTTTATTAAGCGCCTAATAAACTTTACCAACAGCACGGCATGCAGCGGCTTTCCCCATGTTCTCCTCATCGCCGACACTGTACAACAATGTACCACTCGCAGAACAGCTCAAGGCTGCATCCAGTGTGTGAGACATCAATGCTCGGCTGCAGCATGTGGTGTTCAATGTATGCTCCAGAAGGTCTGTAAATAAATGATTCCTTGTGGGCAGAATGGATAGCGCTCGTATAGGAAGTCTTCATGATGTGATAACGGATCTTGGCGATGTGGAAGAACTCTCTCCCTATAAAACGCTAATCTAACTAATATCCTCCTTCATCAGTGGATCTCTGAGGAAGGGAGCTGTACATTAATGCAATAGAGGCTTCTTAGTTTGCTCAGCTGCTTTTAATGGATCACCGTGTGTCTCACTTTACATGCATTTCTGGAACTCCCGTATAACCCCCGGTATATGCGCAAGCGCATTAGACTACCGTATGTGACAGGAGCTGCCATGTTTTCCGGGGGAGTGGCAGCTTATCCGGCTACCTTCAGTTAGCCTGCGCTGGAGCAGCTTCAAGCTTATGGATGTGTTGCCATGGTGATTTTGCCAAACTTGCTTCGTGGAACCGAAAAGCCTGATCTACGTCATCTTATCCTGACAAGGGTTAGGGTTAGGGTTAGGGTTAGGGTTAACCCTACCCTAACCCTAACCCCTAACCCTAACTGTGCGTGTGTGTGTGTGTGTACACAGGTGTGTCGTCGTCCTGTTGAATCCTCGGAAGAACAAACAGCATCACATCTTCAACAGCTCCAGGTAACGATTCAACCAATCAGCTCTCACTTCCTGTCTTTATGACTTTGTTTGACGGCTGTAAAAGATTACTATTATCTTGTTATTATTGTTTTTGGTCACAGAGTTGCTTTGAAAGCAACAAACAAACACGCCATTGTTACTATTGCTGTAGTCCAAGTACATCTCCCATGAGTCATAGCACCAGAAGGTAAAACTTCCTGTAGCCAATCACAAGTGCCCCTCCTCTCTGTGTTCAGGAAGGCCATCACCACGTTGGCCTTTTCTCCAGATGGGAAGTATGTCGTCACAGGAGAAGTGAGTCTACTTATTGATTCATCAATTAGTCCAGAAAGAAAACAGAAAAATAAATATATCTTTTATTGACTCTTCCTCCCCCTCCACCTCAGAGTGGTCACATGCCGGCGGTTCGAGTGTGGGCGGTGTCCGATCGTGTCCAGGTGTCAGAGCTCCATGAACATAAGTATGGTGTCTCCTGCGTGTCCTTTTCTCCAAACAGTAAATACATCGTGAGCGTTGGATACCAACACGACATGATGGTCAACGTGTGGAACTGGAAGGTTTGTATCCTTACTGCTTTATTTAGCAGTTCATTTTAGTGTGCGTGCGTGCGTGCGAAAAAGTGTTTGCCCCCTTCCTGATTTCTTATTTTTTTGCATGTTTGTCACTTAAATGTTTCAGATCATCAAACAAATTTAAATATTAGATAAAGATAACACAATTAAACACAAAATGCAGTTTTTAAATGAAGGTTTTTATTATTAAGGGGAAAAAAAATCCAAACCTACATGGCCCTGTGTGAAAAAGTGATTGCCCCTCCCTGTTAAAACATAAATTAACTGTGGTTTATCACATCTTTGGAAAG